CCTCGTCAAGTCCTTCCATTTGATATATCAGACGATACCTTTTGAGTAGCTTTGATTTGGCACTTAATGACCCCGGACTACACCCCGGGATGACCTCTTCTCGTCCAGACCTTTCCTTTGATAGGTCACGTGACCAAATATTCAAATGATGCCTTCTGATTGGTTGAAAGTTTGATGACGTCATTGGCGCGAAATTTGAATCGTGATCTATATGAGCGCCCTCCACTACTACTACTTCATAACAACTTCTTCATCCACGAATTCAAATCCCCACGAACTAAGAGTTTTGAATGAAACCACGATAATTTGACCCCACGAAAATATGTGATGTTACAGTAGATTAATCAACATTGTATGTTTACTTTTTCATTAATATTATTTACTTTGAAAACAAAAATAAATCAATCCGTTCAATCGTGAGCTTTTATGGAGATAAAAGTAATCTGTACATTTTATATTGGGAGAGTATATTATTTCCCATATACATTTATGGATGGCATCCAATAAATACCAATAAATTGTTGATACCGCCCTAGTCTTTGTATTCTAAGAAAATACATCATTTCGCAATAGATAACAACTCCCCCCACCAAACAAATCTGGGTAATACCTGCCTGTCTGTGGTTTTCTAAGACTATATGATTACCTATAATGAAGGAAATGGCAATTCCGAGCAGATTAAACCCAGATCCAATACTGGTAGCTGTCGTTCGTTCATGTACCGGAAACCAAACCGTGGAAACAAGAGGCGGGGCACCCATAGCAATAGGACCGGCAAACCCATTCAGTGCCTGCCCTATGTTGACAGTCCTGGTGAGGAAAATCTGCATGCAGTTTAAAATTTTCGTAGTTTGCATATGAAAAACTAGCAAGTAACTGTCTTTTCAGTGCTAGTTTCCTGGCTAGTGGTCGAGGATTTGCGTCAAATAGTATTTTGTAAATTTTTCGTAGTTTGCCTATGAAGTACTAGTAAGTAACTGTCTTAGCGCTAATTTTATGGCTGGTGATCGAAGATTTATGGCAAATAGTTTTTTTTTGGCTCTTTCTATCCGTCTGTTATGCTGTCCAGCAGTTTTTCATCAAAACCTTTAAATTTAAACTTTTGATATACAGACCTTCCTTTGGATACTAAAATATAAATGGGACATGGACATTGGAGTTTGACTTACATATTAGCAAAATTTTACCCTAATTTACCCTTGTTCATAATTTTTCAACGATTGGCAATGTGGTTTTAATTGTAAAGTTCAATTGACCAAATCTTTCTTTGGATACCATCATTTTTTCCTTGTTTTGTAAAACGTAAACAATTACATAACTATTGAAGAGTTGGTTCAAAGAAGTTCATAAATCATCTGGTTATTCTCTGTGACAAAATACTCTTTTGGATAACAACTCCTTGAGCTTTTAATCTCAACCTATATTGAGTTCATTGAACCTTCATTTGTAAAAACTTAACCGTGTCTGTAACCTTTGATGGGTACGTGCAAAGATATTGATATTTCTCATATCTATTTTTGCGACTTAGCCTTTCCATTGGTAACAAAATATTTTGACCTTAAGTCTTTGACCTTGGTTTATGAATTACTTTTGAAAAACTTAAAATATTAGCCATATTTTCAGAAAGATTGATGTAGGATTCACTCATATTCTCCTTATGACAAGACTTGTCTTGGTGAACTAAAACTTGGAACTCTTGATCTTGATGGTACATTGACCTACATTTGAAAAAACAAACTTTGGCCATAAGCTGCCATACGAGGGCAGAAGTGTTTCACATACACATCTTCTCTTAATGTCATTAGTACATTTATAAGGCATTTCGTCTGTTTTGATGGCTCAAATCAAATCACATTGATATTGATAGATTGATTAAATGTTTACCATGTGACATATGGGCGTTCGATTGTAATACATCGAATCCCCGTCCCGACTGCTAGTAGAAACATAGAAAGTAGGCAGGAAAAGCGTAATCCTGGAAAAAAAAACACGATTTGAGGAGAATCAAACACTATATTAAAAAATTAGGACAAATTAATTACAATCGTCAAATCCTAAAAACTTTACAAACCAGAAGCACCTCAACAATTTTTGTTTTAAAATATACATTCTGTTATGAATACCTTTTACGTCGGCGAACCAAGCTGCAAAAAACCCGGCCACAAGGTAACCTATTGGTCCCCAGTTTTCAAACAACGCGATGTCGCTATCCTCCCAATCGAGTGCGTCCTCGCTGGATTCCGCGATAGGTCCCCACGTGTTCCAGTAAGCCCCCTGAGTAAAAGCAAATAGTGAAAACAAAATCAAAATGTACCACCTCCGTCTGTAAATTTTCGTTTCATTGATTTGTTTCTCTTTTTCCGAGTCCATATTTTCCGATACCGAGCATGTAAGTTATGAACTTTTTCTCTGTCAGTAGTGATATATGGGGAACGTCACACACAGGAGCTACGGATACACAGGAATTCGTTATGTGGAAAATTGGAACCTAAGTACATAGATACGAAGTGTTATCTTAATACAGGTATTTTTTTGGCATAATGTACATTTAGTTACATTTCAAATCATGTTCGGCGCATGGAAAGGATCCATTATTCCATCTTTACATGCCGCGTTTTAATTTCTATTAAAATGACCTCTCCATTTACATTGATATATTGTTTCAGAGCAAGGGGGATCCAGCGGTTGGAACACCCCCATCCTATTTTTGCAGAGAAAGGGATTTTTTTAAATGTATATGAGTGTTTCTTTTAATAAACTGTTTAATTTAAAAGTTTTGACACCCTCCTCCTCCAACACTTTTTATTATCCGAAAGGTCAAAATATGCAAATTTACGAAAGCCCACTGAGCTCATTTTCGTAGGATAAAAGAAATGAATCTTCGCGTTATAACGCAAAACTTTCGCGAATAAACGCGTTACTTTCGCGTTATAACGCAAAACTTTTGCGACACGCGTAACTTTCGCGAGATATATAACGCAAAACTTTTGCGATGTAACGCGAAACTTTTGCGATATAACGCGTAACTTTCGCGATATAAAGCGTAACTCTTACACTTAACTTTCGCGATATAGCGCTTAATTTTCGCGTAATAACGCGAAACTCTTGCCAATAAAAGAATAACTCTCGCGTTATAACGCGACACTTTTGCGATATTACGCGTTACTTTCGCGTTATCACGCGAAACTTTTCACGATTAAACGCGTAACTTTGGCGTTATAACGCAAAACTTTTGCTGTTTAACCAAGACATTTGCTTAAGACTCAACTTTTTTTGGATTTTATAATCACGTTTATTCATTGTAATTATTATCATTGTAATGATAAGCGAAAGACTATTTTGATTTCGGACTATCACAAGCTATACTTTTAAGTTTTATTGCTATTGAATCTATCTTTACCGTCACAATTTGTCTTTCTCAACCCTTCAATTCAAAGTTTATGCGATTTTTCCAAAAATTGTGAATTTTAGGAAAAAATCACCCCTTTCCGACGTCATTTTTATACACCTTCTAAAGAATTTTAAATAATTTCACTTTATAAAGAACAAGATCTCAGAAAATTTACAAAGTGAGGTAAATTTGTCAATTGTGTCCCACCACATCTGTGAAAATTGGATAGCAGATTTTCATTTCACTTTAGTTGAGCCCCTGCGAGGTGAAATTCATAATTTCAGGAACTTTTATGAATCGTTCATGAACATTCATGATGTGTTCATGACTGGTTCATGACTGGTTCATAAAGATGGTTCATGAACTTTATTCATGAATATATTCATAAAATGTAGTTCATGAGCAAATGATGAATATATATGAATATTGGTAATTTTCATTTTAAAGACAGAAAAAATGTAGAGTTCAATGTATTATGAATGTTCATGAATTTTCATGAAGACTAAAATAATTGACAAAAATGATTGATAGAAAACACTCAATACTCTCATAATACAACTTTTGCATGCAGATGCAATTGTTGAACAAGCCCCTGGTATAATTTATAGTTAATAACATTCTTTCACCATCTGAAAAAATAAATCATGAAATCTCTAAACATTTCGTGTTTTTATTTGATTTTAATTAAACAAACAGTGCATCACCATTGACAGCATTTTTTTTTCAAATTCATTACTTGTGTTTCTTCATAATTTAAATTAAACAGTTATATTCATCAAGATTTACTTTGATTAATGTCGTTTTTCATCACACAACTTTGTTCGACCGAATTTTCTCTAACATCAAACTTTAAACAAGTTGTTCGAAAATGAAACATTCTGGAAAATGAACTTTGTGAGCTTCGTTAAAAACGTTTTATATATTTATTAACAACTAAAAAATTATATCACTTGTCTGTACCGTACCGTATTATTCCTGGATCGAAACGCTATATATACATTTCAATTTTGGTGCAGTTAACATGTCAAAAGTTTCCCTTGCTTCGTGCGTAACCGATAGAGCACAGACTGCATGGTTGTAAAGTATCTATGACATAATCCACATTCGTATTTTGTAGTTTTAATTCTCCTATGCATCTCCACAGCTCAGAATATTCTGTCTCAGGGCGAGAGATTGTTATTATCATGTCATAGGGGGCCGCTAATCTCAGCGAGATGGGTAGAGACTGAAAATTTGGACTGACGTCTACTACCCATCTCAGACTAGTCCCATACAACTACTACTGTTTCTTATAAGAATGATCTATAGTATGAATTATTGGAAACAGATTATTGTGGAACTCTTCAGCAGCGAAGGTTTAAATGAATAGCAAACAGCCATTATGCTGTTAGGAAAAATAAACAACTTTATATTTTACTGGATTTAAACATTTTAAAGGTAAGAAAGGAAATTTTTATAGTGATAGACACTTTAAGGGATGTTCAAAGGAAAAAGTTGAGGCGGGCAGATAATTTATTTCAGCCTGTATTTATTGAAACGAGCTGCCGAAGTCGGAGCAAAAAAGCCCGAATCACGTTGTATGGGACTAGTCTGAGATGGGTAGTAGACGTCAGTCCAAATTTTCAGTCTCTACCCATCTCGCTGAGATTAAGGGGGCCGCCATACTTGCTATACGAAACTAAAAGTCAATACATGTATAATTTATGGCGTAAAAAATTCGAATTCTTCATTGATAAAACTTATTTTGATATAAAAAATTGTATTTTCAGTGAAAAATTATTCAGATAGAGTTTGTAATTTTTTTTAAACAGAAATCTTGGAAATTCGAAACTAATGTATTTCTTAGCTCTACCGTACATTTTATAGGCGCAAACTTGAAAACGCGCGAGACGTTGGAAGTGGGAATTTGTAGAGTGGAAGAATCAGTATTTGTGATCTATTATTTGCATAGTCACTGTGCCGTTTTCGTATTGCATAATTTTATTTCGATCGGGTTCAATATTTTGTTTATACTAATTATGGTAGCCATGCGGTTTGCCTGGCGTTTTGGCCGTTAACGAGGCCCGATCTACTTGATCTGCGCATACGTTTTAACGTAGCGTCGACTCAGGCACGTCACAATACCCTTGACTGCCGTCACAATTGAACACAATAACGTCACAGTTAAAATGACGTCAAATTGCGCTAAAATGTTTCGCTGATCTTGCTTACCTGGTAGCGCTATAGAATATGCATTGAAAGCTGGCATTTCTATTATTTTTTTTTTAAATAATCAAATTAATAAACAACTTTGGAACCTAATTAATTTTGAGGGATTAATTTTTTGGTACAGATTCATTGATTTTATTCTGTTTTATTTCAATTTGTGAGTTTAAAAAACAAACACTGCAACTAAAAGTAAACGATTTTAGTCTTTCTCTGTGAACATGTTGAAGTGTTTATGCACACTCTTTTTATTGTGGACTTAAATATGCATGGATTATCTTCAGTTTTAAAAATAAAATATGTCTATAAATCATTTAAATTGAACCTCCGAAATATTTTATTTTTCTATATATTAGTAAAAATTGCAATTTTGTCGCCCTTACCCCCCCCCCCCCACCTTCCCTCCTCCCTCTACCCCTTTTTTCCACGTAAAACGTCGCGTGTTAAGAGAAAAATAAAGCATGGCGAGAAAATTATTTCATAATGTAAGAATTATTTATTTTTTTTTAGAAACTAATACATTATTGTAATCGTTTGTTGGCGTTATGTAAACCCATTGCGACCTATAAAATACGAAGTTGGATAGAATAAATCCAAATTTTGTGTTTTGACATGCCCCCTTTTCACTGCAATAAAGGCTACCTCCAATTTTCTTTTCATTTTTTATAAGAAGAATGAAAATTGCATGATATATGTGAAAAACAAAGAATTTCATCATGTATTTTTTTTTAATTTGTAAATTTCTTTGTTTATTGAATAGTTTTAGTATGTAATTGTGTATAAAAACACGAAAAATGGTCCATATCTTGACAGTGCCCCCATTTCACTACAATAAAGGCAAGATAACAAAATTTCATTCTAATTTTTCTAAGCATAAAACATACAAGTATATTTCTAAGAATTAAAAATTTTTATCATTCCGTTTTCGTAATTTTCAACTAGATCGGGCCTCGTTAAGTTTGGTGATGTTGGCCTCCCTAAGGAGTAAGTTTTATATTGTTTTACTTGAATTTATATCTAACTTGATCATCTGTATCTAACAGTATTATGCAATACATTTTATCATGTTTAAATTCTGCAACTACAATGTTTTGCAAAACCGCGCATTTCCAGCATGCGATAGGCATAGGCCAGTTCAGCTCACATGTTAAAGTTACGCATTTAATTTTGTATGATTGCTTATGATTTTTACATTTTGTCAAATTCTTATTATGCTTTTGTAATTTGTAGTTTTTCACCCTCTCACAAGGTGTGTCCAATAAACAGTACAGTCAGTGATCTTTGTCAACTTTTTAAGAAAATAACAGAATATGAAGAAGGAAGACTATATATAGGATCGATCTACTTCATAACTGGTGAGTGACAAAAAATGGAGGCAATCAGTGAGTCAGAAATCTGTCTGTAAATGTTACTGTCTATAGATAGTTTTCGATGGACCTAAATTTAGCAAGAGTTACTTCCCGTTGGCCGCCATACTGGAGGTCCAAATGCTCATATTTCTTCATTGTTCAACCAATTTTAAATTTTTTTATTTGCGATTTTGAATTAGGAATCATTATTTTTCTGAAGTATATAAATTTTTGAAAGCCTCCTTTATTTAAAAAAAATTATTTTATAAAGATTTTCCACCAAATATTTCTGCTATATTTTCTTAAACTTGGTAAGACAAAGAGGAAAATTCACCGAGTCGACCTCCAATATGGCGGCCAACGGGAGATAACTTTTGCTAAATTTAGGCCCATCGAAAACTATCCATTTGTAAAATAACAACTAATCAAAGCAAATTATGATAAATAATTTCTCTATTTTTAATGCAATTTTTGTCTAACTTTGCTTTGAGTTTGGATCCAACCATATAACATACATTGATTATAGACTGAGACTCAAAACATTCATAGGCCTGA